TTTAGAAAGTAAAATTAATTACTTATCTTCTCTGTCACTAGTGTCTGTGTTTAAAATTATTTTGATTCCATTAACATTTAAACAGAGCATTTCACTCCCCTGCTTCATTGCTTATCACTTGGCTTGTTTACATAATGCATTCCTTAGATCAGGCTAGTGGCTAGTTACAGAAAGGAAAGACATTTTGTGTCTGTCTTGCCTGAAATCCAAAATGGAGTCCGCTCTGTTCTGAGTGACTCTGGCAATACACACTTTTAATTTCTATCTTAGCACAAAATGTCTGCCGATATAAATATCCTGACAAGGTCCAAAGACTGCCAGGGGTCTGTGGAAAAATGCGTACATTTGAACCAAAAAAAATGTGTTTGTTTTCAACCTTCATCAAGCCTAAGCTAATGTTTGGGCGAGCTTCTATAATTACTTAAGATATCCTGCTGGAAAAAGAAGGAATATGATTACAATGTTCATTCAGTTTTATTCCTTTCTCATCTGTTCATAGATGCATCTCTGTATTCCATAGCTTTATTACAGGCATATATAACCATAATATCTCTTTCCCATATCCTGAGTTAAATGTTTCCTGACTCAGACCGGAACAGAACTCAGATGCCCTCCCACCCCAGCTCATCTTCCCATTTATAGATAGTTTACCACATCTTTAGCTCTGCAGAAATGACAGTTGCAAACACTTAACAGCACACACATGCATTTTCTTAAACCCAATAAACTCCATCCTCACCCTACTCCTAATTTTATATACCACAGAACAAAATAGAAAAAATAATGGCTGCGCAAATAGTTGCTGTGTGCAAAAAAACAAGGTGGTGCTACTATTATTTATTAGAAGGACATACAACAAACGTTTCAGGGTAAGCCCTTTGTCAATGCATCAAGTCCCTCCCTTATGAAGGTTGTCCCGTGCCCATTGTGGGTGAAGGGTGTGGTTGGGTATGGTTAAATGTTTTGTGTGCTCTCCTGTCTTGTTAATGCTTGCAATCAACTAGGTGGATACTGGCCTGAAAGAAGGTCTCCAGCGGAATATAATAAACCCAACTTATAGGATATGCAGCATATGTCCACCTCAGGAGTAGTATCTGAAACTCAGGAAATGGATAGAAAGACAGCTAAAGTTACTCTCAATATAAAAATAATAGATAAAATAAATAAAAATGTACTTACAAGAATAGAGCAGGCTAACTGCTCTATGGTATCAGCATTGGTGATATGATCTCATCCTTGCTTGGAGTACAGGAAAAGTAAAATGCCAGGCCGTAAAATTAGTAAAAGAAAATAGATAATTGGCACAGGGTAGTGACTAGTGACTAAAACCTTTAATTAATACGCAATATTAAAATTTAATATTGTATATTAAAGGTTTTTTGGTCACTACCCTGTGCCAATTATCTCTTTTCTTTTACACTAATTTTACGGCCTGGCATTTTCCTATCTACTGACATTTTTATATTGAGAGCACTATTAGCTGTCTTTCTATCCCTTTCCTGAGTTTTGAATACTACTCCTGAGGTGGACACATGCTGCATATCCTATACGTGGAGATTATACCAATGTACGTATATTTTGCTCCAGCTGGCTATAGCTCGCTTAAATGTGAGTGCACTGCTATTATTTCTACCTATATTATATCTTTGACCACATTTATTGCACTATCCGCTGTCCTCCACTTTGAGCTCGTATTAATAGACTCATTGTTTTAACTGAGGATCTTTCATTTTCTATCAAGTACTTTATATTGACTCTCATCTATGACTTTAAGTCACCTATACAAGAGGATCTCTTACTAGGACTAGAAACATAGAAACATAGACTATCTCCACTATTGATATTATCTATATATATTGTATCTTTGGCGCAGCCTTTTCCTTGTTTTGTCTTGTTTTTTTTTTTCTTTAAGGGTCTTGAGGGATCCCCTTTTTAAGTTTGCTGCCTTTTAATATTTTGTGTGTTAATTAGCACTGACACACAGTGTGTATGGGTCGGGGAAATTGAGAAGGCACACAGTGCTGGGGTATAATGCTTACTGTCATATACAAAAAATAATTAAATCATTGTATAGGTATTCACTGGTGTAGAGCCAAATTAAAGTTTTGCTGAATCCTCAGGCCTTAGGCGGCATGTTCCCCACCAAGAAAGTTGATATTCAAACTCCAAAAGCAAGTTAGAATGATCCAGGAATGTTGTACAATTCACTAATTTATTGATAGACATTTATACAAAATTAAAAGATATAAGATTTAAAGTGAATGAAACAAGTAAATTAATTACACTAACACATTTCACCTGTGGCAAGTTTTTTTCAACGTGTCAGAGGTACCTGGATACACACTGTTTAAATGGGGAGAACAATTTAACATTTTCCCAGTCATATGACCTAATGTTAAATAACTTAGTTTTACAATCATACATTGTCCTAATTTAAAGAGCTAAAAAAATAAGAAGGTGTTGGGCATAACAAGTTATAAATATAATAACAAAGTTTATTAATAAAGAAAAGTAAAAGAAAAATATGACTAAAAACACATAATGGCCCTGGGATTCAAGCCATGTGACCAGCAGAACTGAAATATGAGTAATGTTTACAGTAAAAGCTCATAGATATTAGGTAAAATAATTAGTGCTGGGGAGATGCAGGAATTAAAAATAACACAAAAAATAGGGGTTTGCAAAAACTATAACATTAAAAGGCCAGGGTATTTAAAAAAAATGGTGCTGATGTTGAGTTCTGAGTCACGTGACTTGCTAGGAAAATAAAACCTATATAGTGCCAAGTAAATGGGAGACCTTAGAAAATAATGAAAACAAGGCTAGGGAAGAGGAGAATCGAGTAATGCAATATCATCCAAGGCTCCATAAAATGACACTAAATGGAAAATAAGAAACACAGGATGATAACAAATAGATTATTTACTGGAAATACAAAATATAAGTTGCAACCGTTTCGGGCAACTGCCCTTTATCAATGCTAAGGACATTAGCATTGATAAAGGGCAATCGCCCGAAACGTTTGCAACTTATATTTTGTCCTTCCAATAAATATGCTAGCACCTGGGTGTGCACTTTAAATACCAGTTGCGCATTACTCCATTTTTTCCCCCAAGAAAGTTAGCAGGAATAATTGGTATATGTTACAGCTGGACAAACAGAACACCTTTTCAAGGAGCCCTCTTTGTGTGCCCACAAATGAAGTAGAACCATTAGAGACATGTTGGCGATGGTGGACTCACTTAGTACAAATGCACATAAACAAAGGTTCCTTTCAAAACTGGTACATGGCACATACACATGCTTGTCCTGTAACCATTGTAATGGTATAATACAGGGAGCTACATGCGCATACCCTGGGGGAGGTGAGAGAATTCTCCAAATGGCAAACAGACTTTGAAGTATATTTCCTGAAGTGGTAGAAGTTAACACAGTAAAAGAGTTTAAGCATGCGTGGGATAGGCATAATGCTATTCTAACTATAAGATAAGGCCAGGGACTAATGAAAGTATTTAGAAAATTGGGCAGACTAGATGGGCCGAATGGTTCTTATCTGCCGTCCCATTCTATGTTTCTATGTTTTTATGTTATGGTGGTTGTGGTGATTGGCTCAATACACATTTAGCTGTATCTCACAGCTACACTGAACTTCTATTGTTTGCACATTGTTTCTTTGGACTAATCATCTTGATGTTATTTGTATTCCTTATTTTTCTTAATTTTTTTGATGTCTAACTTCCCCCTTTTTTTAGTCTATTTTTTTCTCTTTATTTCTCTATATCTAATGCTTGTCACTAAGCTAACATTTTTCTGGTTTGAAGCTGCCCTATATGTGCCTTTTTCATTTATTAAGAAATAGAAGCTGTCTCTACTTAACTTTATTAGAACTGAATTGTGTTTTCTATCTGTTTCTTATTATTTATATATACATATATCATTATTTACTTGCCCCTTTTTAGGCCTTTGTCTAAATTGTATTTGGGACATTTGAGACTTTCTTATTTTTTTTAAGAAGGAAAGTACTGAGTTTGCATTCCCCAGTTTCCTAGCATGAAGCACGATGACGCACCACGTGACCTGTGTTCACAGGTCAGAGGATTGTAATATGTTGGTCGATACGAGAAGCAAGCTCCTATCTCCACACTACACTGGTGGTGGGTTGGGGAGTGTGTAACGAAGTGCCCTTCGCCACTTGGTCCTGGAGAGGCTTGCTTGCCATCCTCCTCCCCTGCGACTATGGCCCCTGGGAGATTGTACCCTTTTAAACCAGCATTTGGGCTTATGGACTTTTATTGGACTGTGTATGGCCCTTTAAGAACCATCTGTGGGCACATTGTGACTTTGGTGAACAATGCCCCTTTAAGACTATGGCCCCTGGAACATATTGCCTGTTAAAGACTATTTTAGGGGCGGAGCCGAGCAGCCGAAGCGATCAGACACACACTCTCAGAGCTCCAGGCTAAACAGCGTTAAAAAGCGAAATCCTGGGAATAAAACCCCAAAAAACAAGAAGCCCAACGCTCCAGAACGACCAGAGCTACCATGGGTCGTAATTCTAAGAAGCAGAAGTCAGACAAACCCAAACAGGGAATGAATATAGGCGAGCTCTTCAGGCAGGCGCATGGCGCACTTGGGCCCAAAATGGCCGCGGAGCTGGATGAATACTCCGACTCCTCAGAAGAGATGTCGCAATACACCGGAGCGGCAGACATACCATCACAGAAACCCTCTCACACACACGCCCGAAACCTACCCTGCCAACCGGTCACAAAGGAGACCCTGCAAGAGCTCCTGGCGGGGCTTCAGACAACTCTCCAGGCAGACGTGGCCGCACTGCGTCAGGACCTCAAGGGCCTGGTAGGCCGACTGGGAGTTATGGAGGCCTCCACAAAGGACCATGATCAGAGAATATGCTCTCTGGAACAAGAGGTACAAGCGCTGAAAAAGCAACAAGCTGGGGTTGAACAGAAACTGGCGACCGCGGAAGACACAAGGCGCCGCGCTAACCTTAAAATAAGAGGTATCCCGGAGGAGGTACCGACAGCAGAGTTACAACACCTCATAAGAAGGCTGCTGGGAGCATTGCTGTCTCCAAAGCAAGTCAGGCAAATTGCAGTGGATGGAGTATTCCGGATCCCGAAACCCAGGAGGGCCCCAGAAGAGGCGCCCAGAGATACAGTGGTGAAATTCCAAAGAAGCAGTGACAAGGCGACAGTACAAGAAGCACTCAAGGGACAGTCCCCATATGTATTTGAAGACATGTCCTTAACCTTTTACACCGACCTCTCTGGGAGCACTCTGCAGTGGAGAAGATCCCTACAGGGGTTTACCACTCTCCTGCGGAGCAACAACATTCAATACAGGTGGCGGATGTCCCGTACGCTCCAAGTGCAACACAGAGAATCCTTCTACCAGGTCCATGACATACAGGAGGCATCTGCGCTCCTGGACACCCTAGGCCTCCCAAAGGACGCTCTCCAGAGTATTGGACCTCGAGGGGCAACCACACAGGCACCCACACAGGCACACACGTGGGACCCTGCAAGAAGCACTCCATTTGTCCCGCAGCAAGCCCCACAGGGAGCCTACGCTCTGGTTACTACTTGAGGCGAACTTCTCTCACACATATCTGTTACCAAAGGGGTCCCGAGCCGTGACCGTTTCAGTGACTATATACACATATATATATATTTTTCATTTTTTTGTTCTTTTCTCTCTGTTTGTTTCCTTTTGTACAGTACTTCCTATCTCGCCGGTACCTACCTATTAAGCACCGGGTATCTCATGAGGACAATTCCCCTCACCCCCCACCCCTGCCTCTCCTCAATGGCCGTTAGACTAAGACCCACTCTATCTCGACGCGAGGTGCAAAATTTATCCATAGCAACCTACACCCAGACCTACTCACTAAAAACACTAGTCATGTAATTTATAGCTAGTCTCGCTACTAACTGCTAGAGGTCCCCATTACTTATGAAGGACGAAAGCGGCCTCCCCAGCTAGCGGACTACTCATAGTAGTACTCAACACGCTTAATGCGTTACACATAACTCAAAACAGCCCCCTATGTGGAATGTATATAGCATAACGAATCTCTGGGTGACGGGCATAGCTATTTCTAAACTAAGTAGATCATCCTAACCTTCATTCTCTGCAACATACATCTGCCCCTTGAACGGCATCTTAACTCTGCTGCCACTAATAGAATGCTAGTAGAATAAGCTCTAAGAGATGCTAACACCAAGGTGGCTCCCAACTAGTCACTCACACTCAAGCATGCAAACTTCCACTAGGTCCTACTCTGGTTACACATAGATCTTAGCCACACGAGCAGATAACAATACTTGATTCCTATAGAGTGCACATAACCAATCTATACTGTTAAATGTTTTTGTATCATGCATGCACTGTTCATTTACTATTCCTAGATTAATCTAAAAAATGTGCTGTCATTCAATGCCATGATCTTGTATACTTTGTGATATCTCAGCGACTTGTATCTGCTGTCGTGGCGATATAGTCATGTTTGTTACTCGAAGCACTACAAAAATAAAGAATTTAAAAAAAAAAAAAAGACTATTTTAGCAGATTGGATTTTAAAAGACTCTTGCTGCCCCTTTAAAACGTATTGGAGCAGTTCTGCAGCTTTAAATTGGCACTTCGGATGCAGCCGAAGTGCCGAAGTAGTCGAAGTGGCCGCCATTCAACAAATGAACAAGTGGCATGCGGTCGGTCATAAAGGACTTAAACCTAACCTTTTAACCCCTGCATGGAATTGACTGAATTTTGGATATGTTTGTAATTAAAGTGTGCTGAGTTTGGATATGTGTTTTTATGAAGATTTAATGTATATTTTTAAAGTTACAGTGTATGTGTAAAAAGTACATTACCTTGCATCACCTTGTATGTGTAAAAAGTAAAGTTTTTCCTGCCTGTTTTTCCTGTGTTCAGTAATTATATCACAGGCAGAGGGGAGGGATTGTGTTTTATTGATGGGAGTGTTGGTACTGTATACTACGTGTTTATTGGTTGTTCTGCAAAACCCTGTGGGCGTTCCTGTATGTGTAAAACCTCCATAAAAGAAGGCCTTTTGGTGCTAATTAAACACAGATCTTCTTGACCCTCAACACGCAGTTTTGGCTCGTGATTGGAGGGGACAGCTATACTCACTCTGGGGATTGCTATGCTCTACATACTCTCTTGAGCTTTAATCACTTAGCTCTTTTAAAAGCTTGTTCCTGATACACTCTCCTGGAGGAGAGGTCTTCCCCACATAGTCCTGGATGCTGGAGGTTCATACAGGGTTGAAGGAAGAGGTCTTTCCCACACGGTCCTGGAGGACAGAAGCTGATCCAGGGTAGGAGGAAGACAGCGAGACTCCAGTTAAGCTATGGCACTTGTGGTGTCCGGTGCGGTGCTTGTGGTCCTCGGCGCAAGCTAGGAAGCGTCCATCAACGTAAGGTACTCGGTCGGAGTACGGGGAGTTCCATTACAGAGTGATCCACCTTGCATTTGGCTATTTATGGTGTTGCCAGAAACATTTGCTGGATTTTCTTGTTGTGGTGGGGGAAGGAAGGGGGTGGTGGCGGAGGGGGGATAGCAGCACCTCTGAGACTGTCTTAATGTTTGCATTGTTTAAAATTGCTTGTTGGCACCTGGGTAGCCTTAGTATCTGTCCAATATATGTAGGTATTTCTACCATCTGACCCAGTTCACAAATACAGACTTTTGTATTTATAATTAAAAAATGAAAGCAATGTTATAATTTGACTTTCATAGTTTCTACATCTCAATCACATTTTGCTCATCAAAAGAATAATATATTTTTAAATCAAGCAATTCATATTTAACTTGTTCCTCTATTTTATTGCCCATAGGCAATATCAAAGGAGCACAGAGTGGTCGATGTCATTCTCACAAATACATTTCCAGCATGTTTGTACATCATGTTTTAGCCACAGAAAGTGAGACTTCAGTCTTACCTTGCAAGAAGAGTAGGAGAAGCAAGGTGAGTTCCATATTGTCCTGTAGGTCACCGTACCCCACCGTTAACTAGGTAGCATCTGTTTATGTGTGTGTGAAAAGCCGCACAGTTTTATTATAACTGTACACTGATTATATTGAGAAAGAGGAAGTGGCAAAGGATTTTGAAAGCTGGTTGAATGCTGACTGTAGGCTGTTGAGAAAAAATATAAGAAGGAAAAGAGAAGTTAAAAATAAATTAAAAAGAAATGTAGGGGGAAGGGGGATAACACGTTCTATCGAAATGCAGTACCACTGACATTACTTGATGTCATAATAACATCTAATGACAAAACTATACTAACTGGACTGACTCATCTAACTCAGTTACCACTGCTGTCACTAAATGGGTAATGTTCTCAGAGAAAATGTAGAATCTTACAGCTGACTTGAAGCTTGTAGGGTCTCTTTTGTTTTTGCAATGTCCCCTTAGGAGATGTGTATATTGGATATGGACAAGTAGTGTCCACACTGAGAAGCAGCAGATCAATAAAGTTAGGACATCATTACAAAAAGATAAAAAGCCAAGGTGCAAACATACAGGAGAACGCATACCTAAACAGTTTACTATTTTCTCTTTTACTATTGTACTTTGGGTATTGGGGATTTCAAACCCGTTTCGCCTTAGTGGGAATCAACTCTGTTTATGTGTCTGGTGGGATTGTTAAAAGATCATTATCGATCCTTGAAACTGAATGTACAAGTCTACTGATTAGGAGAAACCTTCTCAATACATTGCGAACCATGAAAGCTTAGTAAAATGTATTATTACCCTCTAAAGGACAAAGGCAGTTGTCCATCTACTGGACCAAAAAAGAATCCTAGAATGTGTGCTTGTGTTTATTGTAGCACTGTAATTAAATGAGCTATCTTTATGTGCACCTGTACATATTGTGTATTGTTTTTTTTAAATATAGGGAAATGGAACACTAAGAAATCATATCAGATTGATATTTTCATTCAGGATCTATTAATAAGTCATTAATTAATAAAGGTCTAGTGTTTTAAAATAAGAGTCATTATATAATAGTAGTAAGACAACAATACATTGGAGAGAAAGTTACATTTCCAAAGTGCAATAAAAGTTGATATTATCTACTAAATATCGCTCTCTTGTATAAGGGGATTCCATATCCTTAATGTAAAGGATAACTACCAAATTAACCAGAATAAAAACCATGGGTTATAAACCAGGAGCTGATAAATAATAATAGAATAAACTATTTAATTACAATACAGAATAGAAGATAGGATGCACAATATCCCTGTAAACTCCCTTGTCAATCACTCCCAGTTAGTTATAAAGTTCATGTACAGTCTGTATACATATGAAGCAACTGCATTGCCCAGAAGTGTAAGTCCAGACATTTGTAACAATAGAAAAAACTTCAGTGGCAATTGGGTTACCAAGCTAAAAATTGTATTGACACTACAGCTATTATGTGAGCCCACAATTACTGAATAATCTAGTACTATCAGTTGTGAATATCCACCAATATTTAGCATACAGCCCAACCACGTTCTCCCATAATGCACTCCCTGGATCAACCTGTATATATGTCCCCAGTGTGCAGACAATCATACAATTGGCTGCTACTAATAACTTGCTGCCAAGATTATTAAAAAGTTAAATCAGGAGTGATAGTTTTTTGTTTTATTTGAATAATAGTTTTAGGTTTTTTGGGGGGTTATTGGTGGAATTTGATTTAACAATCTAGTTTTTAAAGGACAGAAATTGCTTAGTTTAACCATGATAGGTGCATTCTGTCTTGAGATATGTAGAGAGGGATCTCTTAAAGGACTTGGGGAAGATTTGAAAGTGTGCGGGAGGTCGTTCCATAGTTGCGGCGCTCTGTAGGAAAAGGAGGATCAAGACACTTTCTTTTTGTATTGAGGTAGACTAAATAATGTGCTGTACTGGATACTGCATTCTGCTCAGGTAGGGTGGGAGCTTCCCAAAAAAGCTCTTAAGCACTAGGCTGGAAAGATGAAGGGTGCGTCTGGATTTCAGCGACAGCCAGTTTAGTTCTATTAGCATGTCACAATGGTGGGTCATGTAATTACACTGTAAAAAAGGGTAGTTTGAAAAAGACCTCTGTGGAGGTCAAAACATTGCTGCTCTTTTTGTTCCATTAAAATATGCCTGCGGCTTTAACACTAGAGTGCCTGGAAATCTCTTTTTTTGCCTTGACGTATTGGGATTGCTGGTACTGTTCCAGAGCACCGGTGGCTGCTGGGGAATTAGTGTGATACCTACAATCACTTTTGTAATGTAATTACATTGTAGCACAAAGCGACAGAACAAGTTATACAATGTACTAATTTTATTAAGGTGGGTTTGAGGTGCAGGTGCATATACTACATCCCCATAATCCTTGATTGGCATTAGCATTTGCTGTACCATCTTTTCCTTTACTGTAGGACTTAGGCAGGATTTGATTCTGTACAGGGCACCTAGTTTTGGATAAAGTTTAGATGCAAGTTTTTCTATGTGGAGGCCAAAAGATAGATTGGGGTCTAACAACATACCCACATATTTGAAAGAGTGGACTGCGGTCAGTGTACTATTTGATTTTGTTTTAATGGGAATTTTGTAATTTGTTTAATTTAGGTACTGTTCCAAAGATCATTGTGACAGTTTTGTCAGTGTTTAGGAAGAGTTTGGTTTTTGCGATCCACTTTTCTACCTCTGCGAACTGGTCTTGGAGCACAGCCTCAAGCTGCGGTAGATCGAAAATTATGCAAAAAAAAATAAAAAATTAAATTATACACACACAACTGTTATATTTTTTTAATAATATGTTTTACACTTCAAGTGCAAGTAAACAAAAAAAAACTCAACATATATTTGTTGGCAGTAATGATTGTTCAATGCCTCATATGTCTAGGATACAAATTGTTGATGGTAAACACTAATCCTACACCAATCCTA